ATCAACAAGGTCGTTTGGCTGAACACTGATCAGCCGTGGATCCGACGACGCGACGCTGATAAGGCTTCACAGCCTTCGGCGTTAACCGTGACCCCTGCCCTCACGGCGATGAGTAATGAACTTGCCGTTGATGCCGCACCAGTGTGCTTGTTGGCCCCAGAACACCTGCCTTCGCAGTCCATGTCGGCAACCTCACCCCGGGAGGTTGCACCCTCGTCTGCTAGCTCTCCAGCAGACGCCGCCGTCGTATCTACAACTCCCATCGATCCTCCAACGGCCCTCCAATCGCGTTAGGCTCAAATTCAACAGTCGCGTCGCCTTGTTACAGCGCCGCCTACCTCAACTCCGCAAGTTCTTACTGCGGATGCGTTCATCCAGCAAGTCTGCAACCTCGACGAGTTGCCCCAATCCTCGTCGGACATCCTGGCATCGCCAGAGATGAGCTATCTCTCCTTCCTGAAGTCTCTCCGTTCGCACGACATCGCGTGCATAGCGATGATCATGTGCGATGAAGACCTCGACCTTTTGTCTTCGTCCACTGCAGACGAATCTGTGCTGCCCCATCCCAGCGGAGTCCCTGACGTGGGCTTCCCTCCGCTCGAACCCGTTTTTTCGGCCTCCTTGACGAATTTAAGGACGTATTCCCTGACGACGTCCCCTGCCGGCTGCCCGTCGACAAGGGCATACGCCACGAAATTGACCTCGTGCCCGGCACGAAGTATTGCATTATTCGCCAATGGCCGCTTCCACGTGATCAAGTCGAAGCGATCGACGCCTTCTTTGCACTCGTAAAGCCACCGGCCATGTCCGCGAAAGCACGTCTCCACACAGCAGTCCGACAATCTGAGTGAAGAAACCCAACGGCAAATGGCGGAACGTTCACGCCTTTAACAAGCTCAACGCCGCCACCATACCGGCGCAAACACCGATCCCCCGCAAAGATGTGATTATCGACGGCATGGGTCGATCCACCATACTCTCGACCATCGACCTGCGCGATGGATTCTATCAATTCCTCATGCGCCTTTGTGACGTGCCAAAGACCGCCGTCTCGACACCAAGTGCAAAGCTTTGGGAATGGCTCGTAATGCCCCAAGGCCTATCCAATGCTCCTGCGACGTTCAATCGCATGGTCACGGCCAAGTTCCGCCCTTTCCGCGACTTTGCCCCATCCTATTTCGATGATATCTACATCCACAGTCGCGGCTCTGAAACCGAAACCGACGTCGAAGTTCACCGTCGGCATCTTCGTGCCGTTCTCACCGTCCTTCGCGAGAATGGCTTGTACGCCAACCTCTCCAAATGTCAGTTTGGGGTCGACGAAATCCCTGTTCTTGGCGATCTCGTCGGCATTCGTGGTTGTCGGGATCAGCCCGACAAAGTCAAGACTATCATCGACTGGCCCGTTCCCTCCTCGGTTACCGACCTTCGTCGGTGGCGTGGCTACTTACCTCCACAAGTATTCTCGTGGTTTTGCTGATATCGCGCAACCCCTCTTTCGGTTGCTAGTCAGGAATGCCCCATGGGTTTGGTCGAGCGACTGTCAATCCGCCTTTGACGCCCACAAATCTAGTATCAAGAGCGCCCCAATTTTGGCGCTCTCTGACTTCTCGATGCCGTTCTGCGTCGTGTGTGACGCCTCCCAATTTGCCATCGGTTGTTACTTGATGCAACCTGACGCTGATGGTCGCCAGCTCCATGCCGCCGAGTGCTCGTATCCCGTTCATGACCTCGAGCTCCTTTCGATCAAATACGTCCTCACCAAGTTCCGCGTCTACCTCATCGGCGCGTACCTCTTCGTCGTGTACACCGACCACGCGTCGTTGCGAACTGCCGTCAACACGCCACACATGTCAGCCCCCATGGCTCGCTGGCTTTCCTTCTTCGCCGAACACAATTGCTCGGTTCAATACAAACCGGGCAAGGACAATGTTTTGGCTGACGCGCTCTCTCGGCGTCCAGATTACTCCTCGTTTGTGGGCCTTGCCTCGATCGGATTCCTCCACTCCGATCTCCATGACCGCATCCGAGCTGCCTACTCCATCGGCGCGAGTTGCTCGGCCGTGTTCAGTGCCCTTACCACTCTCGAGCCGCTCAAGCCTCGGCGATCACAATCCTTACTCCATCGTTACTCTGTTCGCGATGGCCTACTCTACTTCTAGCCCGCCCAGGACACGCCTCCGCGCATCGTTGTCCCTGGGGATTCTGCGATTCGTGCCTCCCTTCTGCGCGCGTATCATGATTCACCCAGTGGTGGCCATTTCGGCCGCGACAAAATGTTCGCTGCGTTGTCCCATTCGTATTGGTGGTCTCGTCAATACAAAGCTGTCGCCCGCTACGTCGCTCGTTGCGACGCTTGTCAATGCACCAAGGTCGCGTCTTCCTCTCAGGCGCCACTACAGCCTTTACCGATTCCCGATGAGCTCTGGTCATCGGTCAGCATGGACTTCATGTTTGGTCTCCCGCGTGACGCTCGTGGTCACACAGGTATCATGGTTTGCGTCGACAGGGCGTCCAAGTACATCGTGACCGTCCCAGTCAAAGAATCCATCAGCGGCGTAGATGCCGCTCGCCTTTCCTTCGATCATGTCTTCTGTCGCATTGGATTTCCGCGGTTCATCGCCTCCGACCGCGATCCCCGTTTCACCTACCACTTTTGGTCGGTTCTGTTCGCGCTCTGTGGCACCGACCTTGCCATGTCTACTACCGACCACCCCGAGTCGGATGGTCAGACCGAGCGTGCCAACCGCGCGCTTGAGGATATTTTTCGCGCGTACTCTGTAAACCAACCTTCTGCCTTGTGGGCTACACTCCTCCCCCACGCCGTCGTTGCATACAACCCGTCCGTCCAGGCTTCTACGGGCATCTCACCCCACTATGCTGTCCATTGGCAGCACCCTCGTATCCCTCAACTCCTCGACAGTCCCCTTTCAGGAGGAGAGAGGCTTCCTGCTATTTCTCCGGCGATCGAAGCCATCGCCGAAACCCGCAACCTTCCGGCGCGTTCCGTCCAGGACATGACGGACTTCCTTGCCCATCATCAATCTGTATTGCAACGAATCGAGGACAACTTTGCGCTCGCTCAGCATCGGCAAGCGACGCAATCCGACCGCCGTGGTCGTTCCAATTTGGCGGCCTATTCTGTCGGCGATCTTGTCCTCCTCCACAAATTGGCCCTCCCCGATCATGCCTTTCGTGCACGCGCCCCTGGAGCCAGCGCGAATGTCAAACTGCGATCCAATTGGCACGGCCCGTTTGCCGTTCTTGACGTCGTGAGTTCGACTTCCTATAAACTCGAATTTCCCCCCGATTGGAACGTGCATCCGACCTTCTACGTCGGCAAACTTAATTGTTACCATGCGCCAACACCTCCTACGACAGCCCTCCGCTCCTGTGGCGTCCTCTACCCCTCTTCTTGGTCGTCTTCTTCCGCTGGACGCTGCTCTTCGGCCGGAGGCGACTGTGCCACGATGTGCGCTGGCACCTGACGCTCTTCCACGTTTTCCCTCCACTCCATCGCCTCCCCCCTCAGGCGGGCGTGCTCCGTCCAAAACGCCGGCAGAATTGAACGTTGACCTTGCACCGGTGCCGCTGCAGCAGGTTCCGCCTTCATTCCCCCATACCCACGGTCGCGATCCAGCGCCATCGACCGCCCCGACTCTTGCTGCCCAGCCAGCCGCGGATCCTCGGGGGGATTCCGCGTCCTTCCCGTTGGTAGGGGAGATGCTCCCAGCACCCCTGCTCGCGAAATCGACGGCGCAACCCCCGTCGTCGTTGACACTGCACTCTACCGCACCACGGGTGGTACAGTCGAAATGGACCAAGGGCGGACGACAGTATGCCGTCGCAGACGGTTCATCTACGCGATGGTTGTCAGAAGTCGAAGTCCGTTCCAACTTACCTCGCGTTCACGCCGCGTTCCTGCGCGAACAGCGATCTGCGCGACAAGCTCGGCGGATAGTCGCCCGTAAATCGATCGACGGGTCAAGGCAAAATTAGCCAAAGACCCGGCCAAGGCCCCCACATTCGTCGGCCATCCTACACGCCGATTCTTTTGCCGACCCGCGTTTGGTCGCAGCAACGAGTACACGAACACGGTAATGTACTCCAGCAACGTCTCGCCTTCACACAGGACTACGTGCCCCACGTCGAGCAACCAACCCGGATCGCCTTCGCGCATGCGATCTTTGAAGCGCGTCCATCAGCGGCCACCATTGTCATCGTGGCCACGGCGTTCAGCATCCACACGACGTGGCGCTCGAAGTCGTCATGGGTTCGTCCAAACTCGGCCAAACACGCGTTGGCTTCGAACACCCGCGCTGGCATGCCGGCTTCGTCGGCTTCGTCGACGACATTGACGCCGCTTGCGGCGTCGCATACGTATTCGAACGTTGCTTCGCCAACTCCGCCCATCTCGAACTCTTCGTCCAATGCGTCCACGAATGGAACTTCGTCCATCCGAACTCGCGCGAAGTCGAGATCCTCCAACGTCCAAACGTGTTCCCGCGGCACCATCGTCGCGGGCACTTCCAACTTCCACGTCGTCGTCCCAGCACCAGGTAGTTCTGCACTTTGCGCCAGCGCTGCTGCTTTAACTTCGTGCAATCGACGCTGCTTCTCTTGGGCAGCCCGCTCCACCTCGTCAACCTTCCGCGCCGCTTCTCCTTCGCGGCGTTCACGCAACGATTGCTCCACGGCCTCCAACGACTCCAACGTTTGGAGAGCACCTTCCAACATCCCTCGAGCCTCAATCTGCTCGAGTTCTGCTTGACGTAGGGGTCGCTTCATCCAACTCGAGGCCGCTTGCACTCCATCGAACGGCTCAAACTTTTCCGCCTCTTCTTCGGCAGCCAAGTCAACGAGAAGCACTTCGCCTTCTTCACCACCAGGGGCGATCTTGTCCGCCTTGCACTTGTTTGCCCCCTCCGACATTCCGACAATATTGTTGGCCGAACCCATCAAGTCACACGCGTCCATCACAACCTCTCCACGATACGACTCCCGTTGGTTTCATTTTAAGTGGGGGAGGGTGTAACGGTACTGTTATCCGTACTCATGTCAAAGATCCTCATTGACATTGAAGATGACCATCCAAAGGTTGCTAGCGATTATATTCGCCCGAGAAAGGGTTTTTGGAGTAACATGTCTCCACAGTTTTGGAACAGAGGAAGTAATTGACAGTGAATGGCCAACAGAACATAGAAAATATGCATTTTCATCTCGAATGAGAGATGATCTCGCCAATTTGAATGTATCCTTATCGAGTAAGTACAGTCCGAGGATACATCCGTGCCATTTGACGTGGTGATTAGGGTAAGCTAACGCGAAGTACAATGACTTTGTCAGAGTAGTAGTACTACAGTATTGCTTGTGAAGGTTGAAGGATTGTAGTGCCATCCGGATAATACTGAAAATGTATGAATCACATACATTCATCGATACATTTTTGTTCAAGAATATCGTGGCAAATAGTATGTGTGGAAGGTATTTGTTGCCAAGAGTTGTGAAGTACTTGTCTTTCTTGTTCAACCCTGTTTGCCACGTCGAACGCGTAATGCCCTCCACCGTACAAATCGCATTCGCGCAGAGTGTGCAGTATTCGTATGCATGGAGGAGCTGAACCCTGCTTTATATGTGAAACGGCGTTGACAATGTCTCAATCAACCAATCCGAGAATTTGAATTTCATTTTTATATATTTGTCCAATCGTGGACTGAAGATCACAACACACGCTGAAGATTCCTCGTATGCACCAAACGAGTGCAAGGGGGAAAACAATATCCATGAACTACACAGTATGCTGGCATGAGTCTACAGAATAAAAAAATGCAGTTTTTAACCTCAATTAGTACGAGGTAAAGACCAATTGCAACGACTGTATCATGCGAGGCGTGGAGGTATCCTCGGATACCTCGGCGCCTTTTGTTTACATCCATCCGTGCTGCAGTCGGCCTCGCTGAGGCAGCCAACACTCGCCGTCGTAGCGTTTCGTCATTTCTACATTTGACTCGTCGAACCTACTCAACATGGTAAAACTCGCCGTCGCTGCCGCCACCACGGCCACCGCAAAAATGTTTCCACCGCCTCTTGGAGGTCGCCGATTCCGTCGGCGTCGTCGTCGCGTTCAAGGACGGTAACACCCGCGCCCACCGTACCGTCAGCTTGGAGCTCAACTCGACCTAGCAACGCGGCTCCCGCAGCACCAACCTGCGCTCGCACTAGGTCAAGTCTATGGAATCATCCCCGAAAGCGGCGCTCGAGGTTTTGGGAGTTGTAGCCCGAGGCGATCTCAGTTCGAACGAAGCAGTTCCTCACCACCAACACGCTCTTCCTCCACGGCGCCAACCACGTCGTGCTGGACAAACTCGTCAAGCTCGACATGGTGGACCTTTCCGGTCTCCGCTCGTTGCGTACTTGCCCGTGCCCGAGACCGATGACGTGGTCGTGGACTTGCCCGTCGTCTCGGACAACTCAACCGAGGCAACCGTCCTTGCCACCTAGTGGGGCATCAACTTCATCGGCGCGCCGGCCGTATGGCCGTCCGGCAACTGCGGCCAAGGTGTCGTCGTTAGCGTGATATACTTCGGAGTCATTGGGACAAGTTCTCAAGTGGAGCTACCGATCCACGAAGGTTGGCTCGACCGCTACGAAAACTTGGTCGCCCCGTTCGACAGGACCAGCCGTGGCACGCACGTCCTCACAAACGGCGGTGGTTGCAAATGGGATCGGGGTCGCGCCCAGTGGATCGCGTGCCGCGGGTGCTATGAAGATTCGAATCACGAGAATGCAAGGATGGGGTCCATTTTATGCTCTGTCCCACGGACGCCGATGGCTACGTCGCGGGAAACTCAGCTACGAGTGGTTGGACGGGCCGTTGTTGTTGGCGACACCAAGCGCGTGCCACGTTGAACCGACCCCAACCGTAGCTGTTGTTGGGGTACTCAGTGTCCAAGAGGCCGCCGCAGTTTCTACAGCTATGTGCGAGATGGCGCCGACAACGTCATGCAAGACTCTTATCAGGCCAGCGTGGACTTGTACCGCGCCGACGGCATCATCCCAGTCTTTGCCGTCGGCAACTCTGGGGCCAACTGGGGGACGGTCACCTCGCCTGGCGACTTTACGAACGTGATCGGGGTTGTGGCGTCAGGAGGGACGGCAAACTGATGAGCTATAGCAGTCGCGGGTCGGGTCGTGATGGCGCGCCCGACGTGGCGACTCCAGGCAATAATGTCCGGTCCGCGTGGCACACAGGTCACCCGGCGGACAATACCCTCTCGGGCACTTCCTCGAGAACTCCTCACGGAGGCCGTCGCGCTCTACTTGAGCCGCAACAAGGGTAGTTGTAGAAACTGCGGCGTCCTCTTGGACACTGAGTACCCCAACAACAGCTACGGTTGGGGTCGGTTCAACGTGGCGCGCGCTTGGTGTCGCCAACAACAACGGCCCGTCCAACCTCTCGTAGCCGCGCTCCTCGTGCCGTCAGCAACGAGGGTGAGATTGGTGTGCGGGAACTACCTCGCCGAGCTCTGCGGCAACCAGGGGGTCGTGGCCACGTCACGTATTACATATGTGAATAACAATGGTTGTCTTCTTTTGTGTGCGAGTTGGTACTTCCAGCGCTACAACTCGTCGTGACCTTCCTTGACGACGTCCTCGACTCACACACACATGTCAGTGGACGCACATCCGTTCTCGTCCTCGAGAAGTGGCTCCGATGCAAGCGAGCGCCACTAGAGACATGGACCGACGATTCCATTGTCCTTTGTAGGGCTCTCGATCGAAGCCTACGCCCAGAACATCATGGTCCAGGGTACAGAACACTCTGTTAGACGACGTCTTGTCTGCTGTCGTCGGCTGCCCTCGGCTACTCCAGTTCTCTCTGGACCGAACCTGGTGGATGAAGCGAGCGGGCCACCGCGTCGACAACCCCCGGCCACTCTTGCACTACATGCCCCCGGAAGAGGTCCACGCCACTGTATGTTACCTGTAGCTCGCTCGTCCTTTCCATCGGTGATCTTTAAGCACGTGGCAAGAGTTCCATTGTCCTCGTCTTGTGTTGTCATGTTACTGCTGGCGGCAGTGCGTCCAATGCAGCATGCACAGTGTTCGTGCGCGGCCACCCCGCTCGTTCAATTTTGACGTATTATGTGATAAAATGTTATGGACGTTAGATTCGTGCGTGACGGTTAACAGTAAAACATATTTCCTCTCTACATTATCGAATTTGACAGTGAATTCGACTCGGTGGAATTTTGACACGAATTTGTTCTTGGATGTCCTGTCATCGCTATGGATTCTAGTCCGGGTTGGTGGGGGGCCGCTGAAATTTTGGCATGGACAGGACTAAAACCCACGTGGCGATATATTTTTCCATGGTTTGTACGCCCAACGGAATCAAAATTCTTCACGAACGTTTAACCTAGACGATTCTGAGAAATATTTTCACTCGTTGGACGATCTCGAGATATACCCTTGTACTTGGAAGGAAATATTTCGACAAATATATTTCACGCACTGTTTGATTCATACTTTGGCACCCCGTACACAATCCTATTCTCTCGATGATGACAAGGGCAGGAAAGAGCAAGACGCGGCACGAGCCTCTTCCTGGAAGTGTTCGGCATCCCCCGGATGCATCCCCCGTCAGTGTAGTCGCTATGTCTCATCCCTCAAACAAGCCTCGTACGCAGCGCATGATGGTGGCCAGTGCAATGAAGCAACTGAATATTCGCTACGATGCGCACGTCGACCGACTGCTGAATGCGACGTGCCCAGAGGATGGCGAGGAAGACGACGT